AACACAATAATAGTGTGGGACTTTTAGGGCTTCCCTGGTGGTACAGTGGTTGAGAGTCCGCCTGCTGATGCAGGGGACACGAGTTCGTTCCCCGGTCTGGGAAGATCCCACATGCCACAGAGTGGCTGGGCCCGTGAGCCATGGCTGCTGAGCCTGTGCATCTGGAGCCTGTGCTCCGCAACGGGAGAGGCCAGCGTACCACAAAAAAAAAAAAAAAAAAGTGTGGGACTTTTAATACCCCACTCCAATCAGTGGACAGATCGTTCAGACCTAAAATTAATAGGGAAACAGAGGCCTTAAATGACACATTAGACCAGATGGACGTAATTGATGATATTTATAGAGCATTCCATCCAAAAGCAGCAGAATACACATTCTTAAGTGCACATGGAATATTCTCTAGGATTGGTCACATGCTGGGCCACAAAGCGAGCCTCGGTAAATTTAAGAAAACTGAAATCATGTCAACCATCTTTTCTGACCCCAACGCTATGAGATTAGAATCAACTACAAGGAAAAAACTGTAAAAAACACAAATGTGGAAGCTAAATAATATAATAGTAAACAACATGGATCACTGAAGAAATCAAAGAGGAAATCAAAAAATACCTGGAGACAAAAGACAGTGAAAGCACCATGATCCAAAACCTATGGGACACAGTTCTGAGAGGGAAGTTTATAGCAATACAATCTTACCTCAGGAACAAGAAAAATGTCAAGTAAACAACCTAACCTTACACCTAAAGCAACTAGAGAAAGAAGAACAAACAAAACCCAAAGTTAGTAGAAGGAAAGAAATCATAAAAATCAGAGCAGAAATAAATAGAAACAAAGAAAACAATAGCAAAGATCAATGAAACCAAAAGCTTATTCTTTGAGAAAATAAACAAAATTGATAAATATTTAGCCAGACTCATCAAGAAAAAAAGAGAGGGCTCAAATCAATAAAATTAGAAATGAAAAAAGTTACAGCAGACACCACAGAAATACAGAGGAACTACTACAAGCAATTCTATCCAATAAAATGCACAACCTGGAAAAAATGGACAAACTCTTAGAAAGGTACAATCTCCCAAAACTGAACCAGGAAGAAATGGAAATATGAATAAACCAAATACAAGCCCTGAAATTGAAACAGCAATTAAAAAACTTCCAGCACACAAAAGTCCAGGACCAAATGGCTTCACAGGTGAATTCTATCAGAGAAGAGTTAACACCTATCCTTCTGAAACTATTCCAAAAAATTGTAGATGAAGGAATACTCCCAAACTGATTCTATGAGGCCAGTGTCACCCTGATACCAAAAGTAGACAAAGATACCACTCACAGAACGAAAATTACAGGCCAATATCACTGATGAATATAGATGCAAAAATCCTGAACAAACGAAATCCAGGGACTTCCCTGGTGATCCAGTGGTTAAGAATCCGCCTTCCAGTGCAGGTGACGCAGGTTCAATCTCTGGTCAGGGAACTAAGATCCCACATGCCACAGGGCAAGTAAGCCCATTCATGGTGACTACTGAGCCCGTGTGCTCTAGAGCCCACATGCCACTAGTGAGCCCTGTGCCACCACTACCGAGAGTCCTTGCACTCTAGAGCCCACGCCCTGCAACTTCTGAGCCTGCACGTTCTGGGCCCATACACTGCAACTCATGAGCCCGTGCACCACAGCTACTGAGCCAACACTCTCTGGAGTCCATGCACCACAACTAGAGAGAAGCCTGCACACCACAACGAAGAGCCCGCACACCACAAAGATCCTGCATGCTGCAGTGAAGATTCCACCTGCTGCAACTAAGACCCAATGCAGCCAAATAAAACAAAAAACAAACGAAAAACCTCAAATCCAGCAGTACATTAAAAGGATCATACACCATGGTCAAGTGGGATATTTTCAAAAGATGAAAGGATTTTTCAGTATCTGCAAATCAGTGTGCTACACCATATCAACAAATTGAAGAATAAAAACTATATGATCACCTCAATAGATGCAGAAAAAGCTTTTGACAGGGCTTCCCTGGTGGCGCAGTGGTTGAGAGTCTGCCTGCCGATGCAGGGGACATGGGTTTGTGCCCCAGTCCAGGAAGATCCCACGTGCCATGGAGCAGCTGGGCCCGTGAGCATGGGAACATATGTATATGTATAACTGATTCACTTTGTTATAAAGCAGAAACTAAGACACCATTGTAAAGCAATTATACTGCAATAGAGATGTAAAAAAAAAAAAAAAGCTTTTGACAAAATTCAACACCCACTTATGATAAAAACTCTCCAGAAAGTGGGCATTGAGGGAACATACCTCAACATAATAAACGCCATATATGACAAACCCACAGCTAACATCACACAAAATGGTGAAAAGCTGAAAGTATTCCCTCTAAGATCAGGAACAAGACAAGGTTGTCCACTCTCACCACTTTTATTCAATATAGTTTTGAACGTTCTAGCAATCAGAGACGAAAAGGAAAAGGAATGCAAATTGGAAAGGAAGAAATAAAACTGTCACTGTTCGCAGATGACATGATACTATACATAAAAAATCCTAAAGATGCTACCAGGAAACTATTAGAGCTCATCAATGAATTTGGTAAAGTTGCAGGATACAAAATTAATGCACAGAAATCTCTGGCATTCCTCTACACTAGCAATGAAAAAATCAGAACAAGAAATCAAGGAAACAATCCCATTTACCGTCACGTCAAAAAGAATAAAATACCTAGGAATAAACCTACCTGTGGAGGCAAAAAGATCTGTACTATGAAAACTATTATAAGATGCTGATGAAAGGAAAGCAAAGGTGATGCAAATAGATGGAAAGATATACCATGTTCTTGGATTGGAAGAATCAATATTGTCAAAATGACTGTACTACCCAAGGCAATCTACAGATTCAATGCAATCCCTATCAAATTACCAATGGTATTTTTCACAGAACTAGAACAGAAAATTTTACAATTTGTATGGAAACACAAAAATGACCCCAAATAGCCAAAGCAATCTTGAGAAAGCAAAACAGAATTGGAGGAATCAGGCTCCCTGACTTCAGACGACACTACAAAGCTACAGTAATCAAAACAGTATGGTACTGGCACAAAATCAGAAATGCAGATCAATGAAACAGTATAGAAAATCCAGAGATAAACCCACACACCTATGGTCAATTAATCTATGACAAAGGAGGCAAGACTACACAGTGAAGAAAAGACAATCTCTTCAATAAATGATGCCGGGAAAACTGGACAGCTACATGTAAAAAAATGAAATTAGAACACTCCCTAACACCATACACAAAAATAAACTCAAAATGGATTAAAAAGACCTAAATTAAGACCAGATACTATAAAACTCTTAGAGGAAAACATAGGCAGAACACTCTTTGAGGTAAATCACAGTAATATCTTTTTTGATCCATCTCCTAGAGTAATAATGGAAATAAGAACAAAAATAAACCAGTGGGACCTCATTAAACTCAAAAACTTGCACAGCAAAAGAAACCATAAACAAAACCAAAAGACAACCCACAGAATGGGAGAAAATTTTTGCAAACAATGTGACCAACAAGGGATTAATCTCCAAATTTTACAAATAGCTCATGCAGCTCATCAATATCAAAAAAAAAAAAAAACCCAATCAAAAAGTGGGCAGAAGACCTAAATAGACATTCCTCCAAAGAAGATATACAGATGGCCAAGAGACACATGAAAAGATGCTCAACATTGCTAATTATTAGAAAATTGCAAATCAAAACTACAATGAGATATCATCTCACACCAGTGAAAATGGCCATTGTCGAAAAGTCTACAAACAATAAATGCTGGAGAGGGTGTGGAGAAAAGGAATGTTGGTGGGAATGTAAATTCATATATCCACTATGGAGAACAGTATGGAGGTTACTAAAAATAGAGCTACGATATGATCCAGCAATCCCACTCCTGGGCATATATCTGGAGAAAACCATGGTTCAAAAGGATACGTGTACCACAGTGTTCATTGCAGTGCTGTTTACAATAGCCAAGACATGGAAGCAACCTAAATGTCCATCAACAGAAGAATGGATAAAGAAGATGTGGTACATATATACAATGGAATATTACTCAGCCATTAAAAAGAATGAAATAGGGCTTCCCTGGTGGCTCAGTGGTTGAGAGTTTGCCTGCCGATGCAGGGAACATGGGTTCGTGCCCTGGTCCGGGAAGATCCCACATGCCACGGAGCGGCTAGGCCCGTGAGCCATGGCTGCTGTGCCTGCACGTCCGGAGCCTGTGCTCCGCAACAGGAGAGGCCACAACAGTGAGAGGCCCACGTACTGCAAAAAAAAAAAAAAAAAAAAAAAAAAAGAATGAAATAATGCCATTTGCAGCAACATGGATGGACCTGGAGATTATCATACTGAGCAAAGTACATCTGACAGAGAAAGACAAATATCATATGATAGCGCTTATATGTGGAAACTAAAAAAAAATGATAGAAATGAACTTACTTACAAAACAGACTCACGGACTTAGAGAACGAACTTATGGTTACCAGGGGAGAAGGGTGGGGGGGGGAGGGATAGATTGGGAGTTTGGGATTGACGTATACACGCTTGCTATATTTAAAATAGATAACCAACAAGGACCTACTATAGCACAGGGAACTCTGCTGAATATTCTGTAATAACCTAAATGGGAAAAGAACCTGAAAAAGAATAGATACATGTATATGTATAACTAAATCACTTTGCTGTACACCTGAAACTAACACAACATTTTTAATCAGCTGTACTCCTATAAAATAAAAACTAAAACAAAACAAAAGAGGTGGCCAGAATTCAGTTTCCTTCTCTCACACAGACAGAACAGGAATTGTTAGAACCCTAAAGCCAGCCATATCCAGACCTTGTGATTTAAATATTAGGTAAGGTGTGACTGCCTTGGGTTTGATTATAAAAGTCACTGTAAGTAACAAACTTATAAATGAATCAGTCCTAATGTATGCATTGTTCTTTTCCCTTGAAAGGGTCTAATGCTCCCTGTCTGCAGTGTACAGAAAATCACACAAGTGCAGGTCTTGCACCTCAAACCAAGGAGGTATGTTTAGAGTATGAGAGAGAGGAGACTGTGGTGAGCCCCTGGATGGTACCTTCAGAGATCCGTGCGATTCTGTATGAGAGTCACAGTTCCCTTCTACAGGTACATGTTGTTCCAGGTTCCAGTTTGCCTAGTGGTTCCTTGTGTTCTGTAGGGTTTTTTGGTTTATTTATTTAGTGGGATGTAGACACACTGAAAGATTATTAGGTCCATTTGAAGTAGTGATTCAAAGCATCTACACTTGGCTTAGTGCTTCCAGCACTTATCGTTCAGAATTTTCCTTGACTGTGTATTTTCTTTTTACCCTAAAAAAAAAAAAAGACCCAAAAAAGAAGACACAACAACAAAAATGTAAGAACAGATCATTGTACTATAGATATAAAAATCTATTCTGTCCACTCTTCAGACCTGGTGCCAGCATCTTGTGTCAGGTGATGTTCATTCAGCCCATTGCCAATCTAGATGTGCTGGGCAACCACAGCCCTGGTTCCCTTCATATTTCCTTCAGTGTTCTGTGGATGAGCAGCTCTAGAATCTTTGGAAAATTTAGTTCATGTTCCATTTATTTTTTCTCAGGCTAGGACCACAACTTACTGTCTTTCTCAATTTGATAGGACTCATCACCAACTGAAGAAAAGCCAGAGCCTCCTTTTGGGGTGGTTGGCACGGACACCTTGTCTGAGAGCACGGGCAGCATCCTCAGCAAGCTTGACTGGGATGCCGTCGAAGATATGGTGGCCGGTGTGGAGGACAAGAGCCCGTCTGTCCACTGGGCCCTGGACCTGTAAGACCTGAATGTCACTCTGCTTCCACGCAAAGGCCAGCAACTCAGTGTTGTAGTTCTGAAAGATTTGTGGGTTTAAGGGAGAGAAGCAATGAAAGAAGCAATGTGAATTTACCACCTGCAGGCATATTATTACCTGGATTAGACATTTTAAGAGGAAAAATAAACATTTCTCAATAAGTTTGCCTTCAAGGGAAAGGGGTTAACTATAGGTGTGTTATATGTTTTTGCATTTGACTTATCTTTAGGTATAATTTTTTAAATGATGAAATAAACAGTACCTTTCAAGCCAAGCTTGTATAATATTTAAGCTTCTTTCAATAAAAATCTTCTGTCTTGCCTCATCCTTTACCCCCTGAGTTTTAAGAAACAACCTTAGCTGGGTAAACCTGATAGGAAAAAAAAATTCTTTCATTGAGGTGAAGAAAATCACACTCTCACCAGAGACGCTCAATAGTGAACTCCATTTTAAAAGATATCCTAAAATTGTGTAGGGCTTGGCTGTGGGGTGAAAAGGAACCCGCCACCTTCCACTAATCCTGAACTTCTAAATAAAACATGTTCCTCATGGGCCAGGTCTTCTGTCCTCTGCCCTGTATCGTGAAAAGCCTTGGAGGAAGAAAGAGTTGCTTTGGGTGCCTTGCAGTCTGGCCACTGCTACTACCCTGCACTTTGATCTCTGCCTTGTCAGCTCAGTGGGACCACTGTGGTCTGCTTGGACATAGCTCGTTTTGCTGGAGTTGGGATAATACCCTTAAAGCAGAGAGCCAAGCATTTATGAGACTTGCCTCATGAGCTTCCCTTCCCTCGGGGATCACCGTCTCGCACTGCATGCTGCTGTCCAGTGTCTAAAAGCAGTTGCCTTACCTTTTTTGTCCAATTTTATGGTTAAGGCATGCAGGCTCGTCACGTGCCAGTTACTTTGTCATAGCTGCAAGTGGACAGCTTGGTCTCAGTCAATTTTACATCCATACAGCAAACCTGAAAATAAGGACTGAAGGAGGGTAGAGCATGTCAGCAGAAGACTGATGGTCCTAGGCAGTCTCCAGCCTCTAGCTTGAATATGTTCTCTTAGTCTTCAAAAAACTGCAGTATGACAGTTTTGTAGCATGCCTGACACAGGAAACATCCTTGCAAGGAAGGGTCTAGACTGCATACCTTCCAAACAAACAAGGGTTAAAAGAAGCAGTTTCCATACCTAGGTTTCAAGCACTTACCATGCTTGGGAATACCTCCAGTTATCAAAAGGATTCCCCAATTTCTCAAAACAATATTATTTTGCTCACATTTTTATTAGAAAATATGTTATACAGCATTTAGTATCATGTAGATCTAAACTAAAGCCACATCTGAGTGTCCTGTTCTTAATTTTGGCTGAGTTTGGAATCTGTTAGCAAAGGAAGCTCAAACACAAAGCTGCCAAGAAACTATATCCATGGGCCTGGCTTAAAAACACCAACTTCAGCCTTTCTTTCTTTCCTACTTCAGCTCCTACTGTTTCTAGCCTATAGTATATGCTCAAGTGTTTGATGAATTCACGAGAAGCCATTATAGCTTATACACTTTTCTATTTCTCACCAATTCAAATAATTATGTACCATGCTTTGTGTCCTGTTGAGCTTTTCTATAAGAAATCAAACCTTGGATCTTACTGAGGAATCTGAGGGAAAGGAATTTTGCAGAAGTCACACTGGTCGTAGCCCTCCAGAACTCCAGTTTCCTTTAAGCATTGCTTATACCCTGACCATTCATGTGTGTTCAGCATTTGGACTGTGACTCTGTGTCATTAAGGTGACCCTAGTGGAAACTAATGCTTTCATTTTTTCATACAAATACTGAATCTGGGGAACATCTGCCAGGAAAGAATCCTTGTTAGTTAAGGTTGGTGTGTAGGTTAGGAATGAATCTATATATATGGGGCCTAGGGCCAACTTCCATGGCAGGAGTTGCCTAGTTGAAGGGAAGAATTTTATGTAGGATTTTTAAAAACTGATACTAATTTTAAAAAGTATTTAAAGTAGATTCAAAGTCAGTAAAGGTAAAAAGCTGATTAAAATAACCAGTGTTAAGAATTTTAAAATGGTAAAATATTTTACCATTTGATAATTTTATTCCTTCTAAGACCTAAGTGAAAGGATAATAAAAGAATTTTTAAATGTATAAATCAACACAAACGAAGAGAGCTGGAGAAGAGATATCACTGGAGGAGAGAAGTCACAGGGGGTGTAAGAGGGTGAGGAAGCCATAATAGAATTTGTGCAGAGGAGGATAGTGATGAACAGTGAATTTAAGACTCAGCTGACAAGCACAGAAAGGGACCCAGTGAGACAATCATGGTGTAAGTCTTAGGACAGTTGCAACTCCTCATCTCTGTATCCCTCGTGCAAAGAACTCCCAGTAGCTATGCCCGAGGCAGGAGTCCAACTTCCCACCTGATTACCTTCGAGCAGAGATCAGCAAATCTGGCCTGCTTTCTGTTCTTGAAATTAAAGTTTTACTGAAAGACAATCTGCCCATCCATTCACATGATATCTACGCTGCTTTTGCTTGTCAGTGGCAGATCTGCATAGTTGCTACACAGACCATGTGACTTGCAAAGCCTAAAATACTTATTTTCTGACTCTTTAGAGAAAGTTTGCCAACCACTGCTCTAGAGTGGAGCTCACCAGATGAAATCCACCTCTAAACCTTCAGAGCTTCAATAAAGAGCTTCAATAAACTTTCTAGTACCTTGCTCAAAAACCTGAATGGACAGTTAGGCATCACTTGACACAAAGAGAAAGCCCTTTTCATGAAAGGGAGAGTCAAAATTAAATGGGCAAAATAACAACAAAAAGATCATGCAAGAAATAGAACAAGTGGTTTTTTAAAGCTAACAAATTGGACGGCTCAGGCAACGACAGAGGAAGCCCTATTCTCACATTTCTGTTAATAAAGAAGACATATTTCTTATTGGTGAGTGGCAAGAGTTCAACATCAATTGATTCCCATTTTAAAAACGAGTATACATGCATTCACCAAGTATATGTGTGGTCTCTCTGTCCCTACTTCTGGCTTTTGACGAGTGAGGGGCAGCTACTTCAGGGAGCTAAGTAGATGAAATGTTTGCTTTGCAGAGCACTCCACCAGCAGATGGATGGGTGTCTAGATTTGGGGCAAATGGCAGCAAGCTGGACTGCAAGTCCAGGCTACAATATGTTCTCTACTCTGGCTCTACTGACAATAAAGCTGTTAGTTTTATCTGTATCTGACTTCAGTTTATAATTCTAATCAGAATTCCAAGGAGTGAGGAATGTGATTTATCAGCCTCCTTAACTCTGAACACGTGAAGCATTGGCTGTGGCTTGAGCGCAGGCCTCTAAATGGTGAGAATGCTACTTTTTAATCTGACAGATAGATATGAGATGTTGCATTCATAAAATAAAACAAGTTACTGTATGAAAGGAGCAATCAGAGAACAAGAAGAAACTTTGAAATTTAAAATATAGCTGAAATAAAAATTTTAATAGCAGAGTTAGAAGATAAAGTCGAAAAACTCTCAAAGATAGACTCAAAAGACCAAAAAAAAAAAGAGCAAAAAACGTAACTGAGGAGATCAGTCCAGGAAGAATAATATGTGACTAACAGAAATTATAGAGAGGGGCTTCCCTGGTGGTGCAGCGGTTAAGAATCCACCTGCCAATTCAGGGGACACGGGTTCGATCCCTGGTCCGGGAAGATCCCACATGCCGCGGAGCAGCTAAGCACATGCACCACAACTACTGAGTCTACGCTCTAGAGCCTGAGAGCCACAACTACTGAGTCCATGTGCCACAACTACTGAAGCCCGTCCACCTAGAGCCCATGCTCCACAACAAGACAAACACTGCAATGAGAAGCCCGCGCACCACAACGAAGAGTAGCTCCTGCCCGCTGCAACTAGAGAAAGCCTGCACACAGCAACGAAGACCCAACACAGCCAATAAATAAATAAATAAATAAATAAAAAGAAATTATAGAGAGAAGAAACCAAGGGGAAGAAATTATCAAAGAAAATTCTCCATAGCTAAGAACACAGATCAAAAGTCTATAACATGCCCTGTAGAATGAATTTCGCAAAGAAATCCACTAAGAAACATAGTGAAATTTTACAATATGAGAAATAGAGAAAATATCCTAAGTTTCTAGAGTGGGAAAGCACAAGTCAAACAAAGGAATAATCATCAATATGGTAGCAGCCCTCTTAACAGCAACAACACAGGCTAGATTATGGTGAAAATACTTTCAAAGGGAAAAATTTCAATTTAGAATTCTAGACTCAGCTATCAACCATGAGGTGAGAATAATGACATTTTCAGACATCTAATGATTCGAAAATTTTGTCCTTATGTGTCCATTCTTAGGAAACTACTGCAGGATATGCTCAAGCAAACTGAACATTTTTAAGCAAAAAGGAGGAAGTTTTGGGTTCCAGACATGGGTTCTGGATCCTACCAGAAGAGGGATAGAAAAAGTCTGGTAGAACACCTTTGCAGCAGTCCTGAAAAATCGGTCCAGATTGGTGCAAAAGTAAGAACAGCTCCAGGAAGGAGTTTCTTGATGGAGGAATGCAAGAGGGGCAGGGGGGGAGAAGACTCAAGCAAAGGAATGATATGAAAGAAATCTGTAATTCTTTTGGAGCTCTATGTGGAAATTATGTAAGTGAAAAAGCAAAGCAATTTCACTAAAAGGAAAACAAGAATATATGATAAAGGAAATGTATTCATAGTAAACTTAGCTCTGATTGAACAATATTTACATAGTTTTATATTACATAAATGCTTATTAAATATACTGATATCCATACTGGGAGAAGAGGGAAAGACTATAAGAGCCAAGTCTTTATTTATCATTAAAAAGTCAATAGGGGACTTCCCTGGTGGTCCAGTGGTAAAGAATCGACCTTCCAATTCAGGGGACGCGGGTTCGATCCCTGGTCGGGGAACTAAGATCCCACATGCCGTGGGGCAACTAAGCCCACGTGAT